TCTGCTTTACAACTTTCATGAAAAACTTTTTTTTCTAGCTCTTACCCTTTTTGAGTTATCTTGAAAAACCCCTTTGTTTTATCTTTTTTCACCCTTGGCCGGGGGTTGAACAAAAAATTACTCTCACTTATTGTTATAATATACCTCAAACTAACTCATATAAAAAATTCAGCCAAGTTGACGAAATTTCGATTTAAAGGCTTGTTTAATTGGACTACTGCTTCTCTGTCCGCTTTAACTTTTAATTTTTAGAGGAACTTGAAGAGCCGCAATTGTCTCTTGAAAGAGCCGCATGCGGCTCACGAGCCGCGGTTTGCTGAGCCCTGCTATACACAATGGAAAGGCTTCTCTATTCCCGAAATGTAAAAGGCAACCCTTGTATAATACAGAGTGAAAGTGTTTTGAATTGTGATGAACATTGCAAATTTAACTTACATCTAAAGTATTAGTCAAGTAACCACTATTATTCCTCAGCACTTCTGATTCATCAAATTCTAAAGTTAAAGCCAAAGCTTTAATACCGAGCTGAGTAACTTTTTCGCGAGTAGCTTGTACAAAAGGCATAACTCGTTTCATATGTTTTTTAAGTAGGTCCATTTTTGCAAATTCGGATGACAATGTTTTATTATCTGGTAGTGTACAGTTTTTCTGAAAGAGATAAGTTTAGTTCTTTAAATTTCGGGTTAGTCCATCATATATTTGTACTTACCTCTAAATGATTCTTTAACGTGGTCAGAATGCAACTCTGCCAAGAAGGAAACGTTTTTGCCACCCAAATATTAACAACATTTGGTTTCTCAACTGGCGGTGGATTTGGATTGGATTTTGTTTTAATACCCTGCAGGTATGTTTTCAGATGGATACGGAATGAATGAGCTGTTTCCATAAGATATTCAGAAGCTTTTATTTGAATTTCGTCTATAGGACCTGCTTGTGGCCATGATGATTTTACAACACTTGTTTTCTGTAACAGATGGAGTAATTGTGTTAAATATCGTGTGTCCGAAATTTCGCGCAACATTTGAATTTGAATTTTGTGCCATTTGTACAGTAAAGTGATGCCAATGATAAAAAAAAAACAGCGTAACGGGGTGAATAAAAATTGAGCGCCACATGAAAGAACGCGTTTTCATTGTTGAATAATATTTTAAAAATAATGAAGATTTGGCAACTACAGTTCGCAATTTTCGGTCAAACATTAAAATTAAGGAAGACTGGACCAATTGGTGATCTTAATGTGAGAGTGTTGCTGAGAGTCCAGGAACATCAACTCGGCATCATGGTCAAGAATTGGACATTTTTTTGAGAATCTTTCTACTGCATATTCTCACTAAAAACTAACTTGTATGTTGACGCTTACAAAGTTTAATTGATTCAAGAACTGAAGCCCACTGATCACGCAGAGCAAAGAGAGTTCGTTGAATGGCTTATGGAACAAGTGGATGCTGATTTTTCGAAAATCATCTTCAGCGATAAGGCTCATTTTCATCTTGATGGCTTCATTAATCAACAAAATTGTCGCACTTGGGGTTCAGTGATTGGTGATCAATGAGAATACAAACACAACATTTCACTGATTGGTGCAGATTTTGGGCGGGAGGCATCCTCGGATCATTCTTCTTCCAAAATTCAGCTGGTCAGGCAATAACAGTTAACGGTGCTCGCATTGCAACATTACAATCCAGTTTTTTTGTACCTACTCGTAAATTGCAAGATATGGATGTAGGCAAGTTGTAGTTTCTATAAGATGGTGCCACATGCCATAAAATCAGAGAAACAATTCATTTCCTGGTCATGCGATTTAACGCCGTTGGACTTTTTCTTTGGGGTTTTTAAAAATAGTGTTTATGTGCCTGCAACGCCTTGGGAGCCATTTAGCTGATATGGCCTTCCAAACATAACCCTACACTCTATACTTTATGAATCCATAAAAATTTTACAATTTTTAATTGAAAACTTGTGTTTTCTATCAAAATTACTTCTTGCGTGAATTTTGGGACACCCTTTATTAAACATAATACATATCAGGACGATTGAGTGTGAAAGCTTAATTATTTCACAAACTGTCACAAATAGAGGAAGAGGACAAAATTGCATAAACTAAATTTCAATATATGTATAGAATTTTTTTCTACAATCTCTATATAATGATGTTTTGAGATTCAGTTCAGTGTCAAAAAAATACCCTATTTGTTTAGGATAAGTACTACTTTCGTCGCAATATCTAAACAGGGACATCTATATACAAGAGTTAACATACCAAACTTCATTTAGATGGAACAAAAGGTTTTACATTTGGACAAAAAAAAACAAATATTTTCTGTCAATTCTGCACCTCTCTAGTGGCCAATCGAAGTAATTTAGATATAGGTAAGGTTTAAGGAATATTAGAACACCCTGTATATAAAATCCTTGTCAAAGTTATTATTTAAGTAAACATTTTTCAGTTATTATTATCATTTCAGACCTGATGGTGTCTTTTTTTTAAAGATATTGATTGAAGAATTTAGTTTTTCAAGATTTTCAGGAAATTTAATACCTACATTAACAAAAACTCGACAAATAAAATCCTAACAAATAACTTATATTGGAATATTGCAAAAGCACAATATTTTGTATCAATAATTTTTATAGTACCAACACCTGAAGAAAAAAATGCATAGCTGATTTCTCTGGTCTAAAATGTCACTAAAATATAATATTTAATACTGGAATGAGAAGAAAACGATCTGTATTTAAAAAATAAGGTCAAGATCACTGCTAAAAGAGAAAACGTAATACTGAAAATCTAATTTAATATTCAGACAGCAAAAATAGCTTTTAGGGTGGATTTTCTAGTTCTTTCATGGAGAAAAGAACTCAATGAATGATTGCATTATAAGATTGTATGGATAGTCATAAGAGTAATAGTCATAACTAGAGTAAAAGAGTTTGGTAAAAATCACAAGAAAATATCACACTACAGGAAACATCAAACGGCCTATTATAACCTATTTTTTATACCAAAAATTTAACACAAGGCTGTTAAATTCACAATAAATGAACACATTATTCGATAGCCATGGAAAAATATTTATGAAGTTATGATCATCTTATCTATTCATTTTTTATTTAATGATATTAATTAATGATTTTAAATACATATATAAATAAAAGAAGTAACTTACATGTCCTAACAGTTCCCAAACATGTTCTGCAACATGAGGACAAATTGGACAAATTAATATTGTCTGTACTTCTATAAACTTAAGAATCAAATCTATGTGCATGCCGTCCAGGCACAGTTCTCTGTACTTATCTCTTGCAGATTGCATTTCAAAGAAACCAGTTCTGAGAGCTTCCTTAAAAAGCATTTTTTTATAAAACTCATCAGTTGCTTGAATATTTAAATTGATCTCACTTTGGAAAACTTGATCATTGAAAGTTGTTGCAGGGCCAGTTCTGAAAAAATATTTATGGACTTGACTATATCATGTAAAAATGTACTGTCTCCATAAAGTATTAAAGAAATACAATAGTCAGATGTTTTTTATTCGGGATAAATAATTGGACATGTTCATTTTTATTTTTCCCTACATAATTTTTATTTAACAAATATACATATATACAGGGTAATGTAACAGTTATGACACCATCATTAATATGTTTTTATTTATTAAAACAATAACCAAGATAAAATTCTTCATTTTTAAGAGCAAACAATTAAAAATGTCTTAGAGGAAATCGTGCAATAGGTAGATATTTATTTAGTTTTAGATTTACCTATATATATATAT